TAAAAAAAGTTTTGTTTTTATAAATTTTAAAGTTTTTTATCTTTTCGTTGAGAAAGTATTTTAGAAATTTGTTTTAGAAAAATATATAATTTTTGCACTTTTTTTATTTTCCTCAAAAAAGTCATCCGACCCTTTCTAATGTTCTACAACGAGTCTGTATAAACTTTGCAGCAAATTGTTGTTGTGACCGAATCGAAAGCTTAACCGAAATGTTTCTAATTGTATTTTTATTACTTGTTTTGTTGTTTTTGTAAAATTAATTTTGTCGCCATTAATTACACTTGTTATTAATTAATTAGTAATTAAACATGTAGTGTATTTCGAAGCGCTCACCACACGTGAACCGAACAACTGCCCCCCTCTGGTCTGCCATTAAATTTATAAGTGTTATTATGTACTATTTACTATATGGATTCGCCATTATTCTGCTGCAACAACACTTGCATTTGTTTTTATTGAATTTTCTTACATATTAGAACATTTATGTAACTAGACGCCGACCCCCGACTGCTTTTTGTGCTGTCCACTTTTTGAGCTAAAGTTATTTAATTACACGCTATTTACATACTTACATGCATATGTACATACATATGTATATGCATGCATGCATACGTGCATACATATGTATAGTATGTATTGACATCTACAAAATCTACACATATACTAATATGAAGCCATTTTGTTGCCTTGTAGTAGTTTTTATTAAATTTAAACAAGCATATACATACCTACATACAAAAACAAAAACGAAAACTAAATTAATAATATTTAGCGTAGTAAATAAAGCAAGCGTCTTAATGCTGTAGAGACTTCAATTATTAATTAGCCTATTCTATTTCGCAAAATCTTTACTTAGCAACTCTTATATACATACATACAAACAGACACATGCAAACACATACAAACATATGAATAAAATACTGTTGCAATTTGCAGGTATTTAGCGATGGAATTAATTATGTAATTATATAAGTAAAAAATACAACAAAATTTTAGCGAGTACTGACATACAAACATACATATACATATATGGCATATGAGAAAGTAGCGAGTTGTTTGAATTGCATTTTTTTTGGAGCGCGAAATTTGACTTTTCGCACTACAAAAGGTTGAGAATTAACAACAAAACTTATTTACATATGAACATACATACATACATCCATATGTATGCCATTTTCGCCTAAAGCAGTACATATAACAATAAATACCACACACATGAAATGAAATGAAAATTATACAAATTACAAAACCAAAAAAACAACAAAAAAGAAACTCGAATTGAAAATTACATTCGTAAGGCATTAAAATGATATAACATATACTATATACATATATATATAATAAATGATAATAAACAGTAATGTTCGTATAAAATAGTGCAGAAAACTGAAAGCGAAGCGTTGGCAACTCTAAAACATTTATTTGATTACCAAAATAAATAAAAATCAATAAAAATTAATTTAAAAATAAAAAAATAAGAAATTGAAAATATAATAATAAAAAATCATAACATAAACAACAACAAGTACAGTACTTCTATTAAAGCAAAGATGAAACCAAAATATATAAAGAAAAACACATAACAACTACAAAAACAACTATTGAATTAAATAAAATTGTAATCACAAGGAACTCCATAGAATTATTATTTAAATAAAACGGTTAATAAAAAAATTTTCAAAAATATTTCAATAATTTTTATTTAAAAAATTCAATTGCTATTTTGGTAAGTATTTGCTCCCGAGTTACCAACAGTTCGCCAGTCGCTCTTACTTTTCGCTGTTTGGCGCCAATTGGAGGTTCAAAGCGTAGAGAGGTCATTTTCCACCTAGTCTTTCCAACGCAGTGGAGATCTTCCTCTCTCTCCGCTTCCCACAGTGGGTACTGCATCGAATACTCTCAGAGCTGGAGCAGTGGGCGTGAGTGCGACGACGGTTTGTTTGCTGACAGGAGGTATTCCTCCTTGCTCTTGTTCACTATCTGACCCGTTTGCTTCGATTCTTTATTCAATCTGTAGAGAGCAGAACTAACGAAGCGACCAATAATATCAATATCATCAGCATACGCCAGCAGCTGTACACTCTTATGGAATATAAGAAGTAGGTTTAGTTCTGCAGCTCGAATTATTTTCTACAGCAATAGGTTAAAGAAGTCGCTCGAATGAGAGTCGCCTTGTCTGAAACCTCGTTTGGTATCGAACGGCTCGCAAACGTTCCTGATGGAGGTTTTGGTATTGTTCAACGTCAGTTTACATAGCCGTATTAATTTCGCGGGGATGACAATTCTGACATAGCGGCATAAACGGAGCTCTTTTTCGTGCTGTCAAAAGCAGCCTTGAAATCGACGAAGAGATGTGTGTCGATCCTCTTTTCACGGGCCTATAATCTTTCGCACAATACGCTCAATAGACCCTTAAAGCGATGTTGAGCAGGCTTATCCCACAGTAGTTGGCGCAGTCAGCACACTTATATTTCATTCCTCAAGCATGCTTTCTTCTGACCATATTATACAAAGAAGATGTTGTTCTTCAGACGGGTAATTGCTATTTGAACTTCTTCATGGTCAGGTAAGAGAACGTCTGAGCCAGCGATTGGTAAATCGGATTCGCCATCTTCTGGTGTTATGCTTTCACTAGCAATCAGCTGCTTGAGAAGTATTCCTTCCATAATTTTAGTACGCTCTGGGCATCACTAAATCACCTCTGGGGGTTCTACAAGAGTATGCTCCGGTCTTGAAACCTTCTGTTAGTAGCCGCATCTTTCATCGTAGAACTTTCTAGCATTACCCCTGTCAGTCAGATTGTTAAACTCTTCGTACTCACACATTTTGGCCTCTCTCTTTTTGTGCGGACGGTAATTTTCTATCCGCACCGCAACACAAAATGACAAATCTACAGATGTATATCTTCGAAATCAGTTCAAAATATTTAGACCACATCAGAAATGAAAGAACCGCAACCCAGCGAGGAATAAAAATCGCTTTGTGGAGAAAAAGTGGCTTACTTAAAGATCCTTACGTATATAATATGCTCTTCAGATCTCTAAACTTTCATAGTGAGTTATCGAAACCCTTAAGAAATAATGATGAAACATTTTACAAAGTTCATGACACATTTTTGTCGAAAAGAAGAAACGTTTGACCAAGTTTATCTTCCATGATACCTGAGCAATAACTTGGATTTAGTTGTTGTTTTAGCGAATATCTAGATAAAGTTTGGGGAAATCACGAAATTAACTAACATCGAAGTCACTTAACGGTAGACTCAGGAAACGGGCTGTTTCGACGGAGTCATACCATAGGGAATGAGATGTTAGTTGCGTGTTTTTGGTGGGATATGCAAAGAGATTCATTCAGGGACTCATTGCAGGCAAGACACATATGTATTTGATATGGGTCTATGAATAAGTAGAAGTTAATGTTATAGTTGTAACGGTTACCTAGTTCCCGTTAGGTTGGTAAGGTTCAGATAAGTTGTCATCTCGAGATCATCGTGTGCAATGGGTTTTGGTTTGACTCCAAGTAAGTCATTTACTGAGAGGGAGTTGGTGAAGGTTTTATAGCTCCAATTTGAATTGCGGTCAGTGCATGCTTCATGCATGGATGATTCCTACGAAAGTACTCCGGAAAGAACTGCTTCGAGGGGCTCCCTAACCGATAGCATGCGGGCCTCACTGTGCAGATGTTCGATAGAAGACATAAAGAAACATCCCGTTTTAGAGCGGAGTGCATTGTTCTGATATGTCTGAAGCTTCCTTGTCTGCGTTTCACTGCATCCAGGCCAACATATTAGTCCGGCGTAGTTTAGGACCGGCCGGCCGATTGCCTTGTATGTTGTCAACAACGTGGATTTTCAGATAAGTAGGAATAATCGAACCTGCTAGGGAGCTCTTCGACTACTGAGGGTAGTGTTGTGACTCCACAGACCCTATTCACTGGGAGGGAGTCAATGATAATGTTAATAGCCCCACTGTGAATGACGTTCAGTACGCGTTCGAAATAACGTCGCTACAGTGGTACATCTCGTCGATTTATTATAGGAAGGTTATCCTGGTGTTTCTAGAAGGCGGTTACGCTCCAAGCAGATGACTACAAGGAAAGCAGCCTTCAAATCCCTAACTTGGCATTTTTCGTCCTCTGCAACCTTCCTTCTCAGAATCCAAGCACATTGTTTCATGACTGCAGCCGCGGCATAACTTTTCTGTGGAGATGTTGGGACTATAACCTCTTACAGCTCGTGTTTCACTTCATTGCAGTCAAGTGAGTTTTGTTGTTGTTGTTGTAGCGGCAAAATTCTGCCGAGTTGACAGTCCTTGACCAAAAAAACAAACCAGCTCCGCTCCGGTTACGTAGAGCCGACTGTCGTGGAAAGGGCTTTCATTCATGATTGATTTCATTTTAAATAGTATTTTCATTAGAATTATTTTACTAAATATTTTTTATGAACTTGCTTCTACATCTGATGATTCATGATCGTTCATTTTCTCGCAATTGTTTTCTTTATTATTGTTTTTCATACATACAACATAATAGTAAATTGATTTATGTATAATTGGAAAATATTATTCGTAATTTATTTTCGATTAAAAAATAATTTTCTTTTATAATCTTCATATGCATACACATACATATACACATTTCTTTTAAAACAATAATATTTAATATTATATAATAGTTGTTTTATTTAATGAATAAGTGTGAAATAATTATTACACAATTACTTTAAATATGTATATATATATATATATATACTTATATAAACAGCATACTTTTCAACTTCATCACTTACAAATGTTGCATTCTAACAGTAAATTTCTGGCTTATACATAGTAACCAGAAAGTGAATTTCATTTTGGAATTGCTAATAAGAGATTTGCGAACCGCTTGACACATGCAAAATTGACTTGGCCAAAAGAAAAAAATGCAAAAACAAAAGAAAACATCAAATAACAACAAGAATTTAAAATAAATTGCTACCATCTTTACACCGATCGGCGACGAGCAACCATAAGTGTGGCTGTATGCTTGCAAATATTTACATGCAAATGCACATATGCGGCTGTGTATGCGTGGGTATGTTCGTATGTGCTATTGCCCCCATAGAAACGCTACAACCAACTGTTCCAACGCTCGTGCAACCAGCAATCTTCCCATACTGCGTCATAACAACGTGCACACCCGACTTACACACACACACACACACACATATGTACGTGTATATTAACAACAAGAACGTGAACTCAGTATGTTAGCTGTTCGCCTGGAATTTGTAACGTTGCCATAAACCGCTCGTTACTCATTAAGCTATGCTATGCCATGCATATGTATGTATGTATGTGAGTTACACGTTTAATTTAATTTATTTATTGTTTTCATTTATTGCTGAAAAAGTTTACGCTTTTAACTCGCATTTAGTATTGAAAATTAGTATATTTTCCGATTTTGTATATATTTTGTGATTTGAATGTTTTTACGGGGTGTAGTGGAGTGGAGTGTACACTGTTGACAGTTGCCACACAGGCGGCTGTAGTGAGTCCTTAAACGCTGCTCTTTGATGCGCGGATGAGGGAGCTGAAAAGGGGGCGTTTGTTCCTGTTTGGTAAGGTTTTTCGTTAATTTTTTTTTAATTTTCTGGTTTTCTATTTTCTATTTTTAATGTGACTTTATTTTAATCTATTTTCATAGCATTACCATCATTATCATAATTTTCCATAATTTAAATTTTATATATTAATATTATTATTGGTTGCTTTCCCACACTCAACATCATCATTATCATCCTTACTTTTGTTTCTGCTTTCTAATTCTGGTTTGTTTTTGTTTCTTTTTTTTATGTAATTTATATATTTATTTTTTTATTTATAATTATCAGCATAATTTTTTCAAATCTCTCATTGGAAATTTCATTTTCTGCAAGTAGATAGCGGTAAATATCAAAAGTAGTGGTTAATATAACGGAATAACGGCATATTTGAAGAGTTTGAACTAACCTACAAAAGGACATCACTTGCAGCAATTATTTGTTTGTCGGTTATTTTCATTATCATTCAGCCTTCTACCAGCAGGAGCGCCTTGATTGAGTGCTCCATCGTTTTTAGGTAATTTCTTAGCTGTAAAGTAGTGAAACAAAGCACGAAAGTGTGTGTTAGAAGGCAGGCGTTTTGGTGAAACAAGATTTTTTTTGCACTGATTTCATAAAAATATGTATAAAAATGTTAAAAAATAATTTTGGATAATATAGAAAATACAAAAATAAAATAAAATAAAAAGTAAAATAAAATAAAAACATAATATTAA